TAACAGGCCACTTGTGCCTGCGTACCCAACGTCGGCGGTTGTATTTGCGTTTGATAACCAGTGTTTCGTCAGTTTCCCCCTCGCACCCAAACCTTCCGATGATCGGCGGGTTCCTCCTGAAGTGCCCCACACATTCGCCGCGGAAGAACCGCTCCCACTGAATTGAACTGGTGTGGCACATTGAGCTCGTATTCCTTGTCCTTCACCTTGCCCATGTCGCGCAGCCAGAAATAGGGCAGTGCGAACACCGTTGACTCAGGAAAGTTACAGTCTCGAAAAAGGAATCCTTTCGGGCATGAACGTAGACCCTGGTCTCGTTCGATGGTCCAGTGCGGCACGCTCGGCCCAAATAACCCCAAATGACGAAGTTTCAGCAGATTTGGTGAAAACAGCTGTGGCGCCAAATTGGCGCCAAACGGCGCCAAATTGGCGCCAAACGGCGCCAAATTGGCGCCAAACGGCGCCAAATGGCGCCAGCGCTGAAAACGGGTGTCGTTTTCGTAATCAGGACCCCAAATAACCCCAAATGACGAAGTTTCAGCAGATTTGGTGAAAACAGCCGTGGCGCCAAATTGGCGCCAAACGGCGCCAAATGGCGCCAGCGCTAAAAACGGGTGTCGTTTTCGTAATCAGGACCCCAAATAACCCCAAATGACGAAGTTTCAGCAGATTTGGTGAAAACAGCCGTGGCGCCAAATTGGCGCCAAATGGCGCCAAATGACACCAGCATCAAAAATGAATGTCATATTCGTAATCAGGGCATCGAATTACCCCAATAGACAAAGTTTCGACGAAAAATGAAACTTTGAGATTTTGGGGCAGTAATCGTGGGATATAGGGGAATGCTGAAAACGGTGAAAACCAAAGTTTCAACTGGGGAAGTAATGCATATCATTCGATAGCATTTTTCACGGGGAAGCTAACGGGGCACATTTCAGGTCTGCGAGTTCATCTGGAAATGCAAAAAATCTGAACATTCCACAAGGGCATGACGAGGAGGCATGTTTGGGGCCACACCACGGAAGGAACGCTTACTTGCGACCGAGTTTTCCACATAATTCCTACAGACAAGTGACCATAGTCTACGACAGTGAAGGAAATTCTTCGCTTCCTTTACAGCTTTCTACAAAACATTCCTCTAAAAATGGGACTTGTCACGTAATAGGGGGCAAAGGCATGACAAGGGGTGATGTTTGGGGTCACACCACGGAAGAAACGCTCACCTGCGACCAAGGTTTCCATATAATCCTTACAGACAAGTGACCGTAGTCTACGACAGTGAAGGAAATTGTTCGCTATCTTCACAGCTTTCTGCAAAACATGTCCTCTGAAAATGGAAAATGTCACATAATAGGCCCACTATGCCTGCTGAGAACTGTTCAAAGATTCCACTTGATATACAGAGGATGGGATATTGAGAGCAGAGGGAACACGTAAAGCTAGTAAGCGCTTGAAAACGAAATGAAGATCTAAGAATTCGGAAAATAACATTCATCTAATCTCACAATGTAGTGGATGAGATTGAGTACGTGGCGCATTCTGGGGTAAGTTTTGAGGCCCTTCTTTGTGTGTAGCGGTTAGCCCGCATAAGCGGGATTATATACACATCACATGCGAGCAACTACTTTTTGAGATGAAAATCGAGTGCATGGCGCATTCCGAAATCAAGCTTTCTGAAAATATTTTAGCACCATCTTGTAGCGCTTGAAGAGCTGAGTTCAACGGTGTTTTCCGTTTCTGGAATACTTCACTCTGACCCGACTTATAACGAATTCACGAAATTAACGAGGATTCGCGTTATTCGCGTGAATTTTCGATTTCAAACGGCGAGTACTGTACGTGTTATAGAATGCCTAGAATGATTTGACAGCACTTTCAAGAGAAGCTGCTCGGATCGTAGAAAAATCATGTGGCGAGCGATCCGTCTCCATGGTCAACCGTCCGTTGGTGCCATAAGTCGTCCTTTGGGGTTGACGGAAAGTTGACCATTTTTGAAAAATGCCAACTGGGAGTCGTGGTTGAGGGAAGCGGGTGTTTTTGACTGGCTTTTGGTGGATCGAGCAAAACGAAACGTTCATGGAGAATAGTGTATAATGAAGAATGTTGATATGATTTACCCTCCTTCTCATATTCAGCCCTCCAACTCCCTACCTCCGTGGCGACCGTCTCGGAGAAAAAAAGTGGGCGGAGTTTGAATCACATACCATTCACACGCTAGAAACAGTTGGTAGTTGAAGCGGTTGAGGGTTGCGGCAGTAGTCAACTTACGGCGGTTGGCACAAGTACACGAGGGTCGTGAGTTTGTTGAAGTCGTGCGGGAAGGGGGTCGCCTACAAAAAAGAGGCGAAAATGAAGGGCAAATATAGGAGATTGCAGTTCCCCATAGTACGTTTATCCCCCGCTTCGACACGGTGTGTCTTTTTGACGGAAAAATAGTTTGGAAGTAAGGGTGATGTGAACCACCTCCCCGTTAGTGGAGGGTCGTAAAAACTTTGCAAAAAGTACAAACGATAGAACCGACCCTGGTTGGAGGGCTCGCACAAGGCTGATAGTGATGATGGGGTCGTATCAAGATCCCCTGGAGGGAAGGGGTCGTAAAGTTTTCAAAAAAGCACCAGCGCTAGGGTTAATTGTACGTATCACCTTTGAACTGTGAAATGCATCACTTATTTGAAGATCAGGTTTGGCAAGGGTCCTTTGTTTTTCTGATGCTAATTTTTCACCTTACGCTAAGACTTCGCCGCCCAACACTGGCGAAACTTTCCACATGCCCAACGCAGAAAACCCGTGGGAACTCGTCATCTGGAACTTGAGAAGAAATTTTGCGAAGATCTCACCTGTGCCTCTTGAATAGCTCAGTTACTAAGAGTCGCTTGAAATGAACCCACGGCATTCCTCTTTGCTGAAAAGATGCCCTCTATACTTTCATTGTTTTGTTGCGTCCATTCACTAAACGCATGCATTGTGCTGACAGGTATCGCTGATAAGGACTTTTTCTAGCATGTATCACGACACGCCTACCCTCCACTATCGCGAAGGCTTTCCGCCGGCGAATCCGTCAGGTGATAACGCTCTAGCAATCAGTTTCTGGCATGTGTCTAGCTCTGCGTAATAGACGCATCTTCTTTGGATTCATACACCATTCTTTTGTTTGCCTCTTTTTTCGACAAAAATTCATTCATCCCTTTCTTTTTCAGAGCCTCCAATCGATCAGCAGACGGTTAACCCAGATAGAAGAGGACCTATAGGATCAGCTGGTGAAATGTACCCAAATCAGGGTGGAATCGGAAGCGGTGTGTATAACCAGGTAATTATTCCTGTTTTTGGCGCAGTTCACAATTCTACCATTCAAAAATAATTAATATTCTATCAGGGAAATGGTGGAATGGGATCTGGCGCAAGACCTGGTCCTCCTCCCTATTATGGTGGGGAAATTGGTTCAGGAATAGGCTCAGGAGCTATGCCGAACTATATCCTTCCGGTGGAATAATAGGTTCCGCAGGTGCTCCAAACTATCCACGACCTGGAGAAATTGGATCGGGAATAGGATCAGGAGTGGCACCAAATTATCCTCAAGGACCAGGTTTTGGTCCGGGGATAGGATCTGCAGGGGCTCCAAACTATCCTCCACCAGGAGGTATAGGCTCAGGAATAGGAACTGGAGTCACTCCAAATTATTCTCATGTAAGTTGAGTTTGAGTTTTTGATTCTCGGCTTAGGGAAGATCGACTCTCTTTATTGCAGGGTGGTGGCATCGGACATGGCGCCAATCCTATGAGACCGTATCCAGAGCCTGCACCACCAATCGGCCACGGCGGCATAGGAACTGGTGTAGTTCCGCTCAGACCTTATGAAGGGGAACTGAATCATGGTGAGGCTGTGAACTATTTTTTATCAGCTAGTTGTGCATGACTTAATTTTACCCCTTGCCTTTGTATGCACTCAGACCACCTTTTTTCCGTGAACGCATGGTCTCTCACCGAAAGTTTGGAGTGGTTCTGGTTTGGCTATTACTTTAGAAAGAGCTTATCCATAAGGAAGCAGTTGTGAATAGATTCGCGGGAATCATTCAAGAATTCCACAGTACCCAGTCGGTCAGGTGACAAGGGAGCCGAGGGAAACCCGGTTTTTTACACTATTTGAGGCCGGTCAATCCTCCCCAAGGGGTTGGGGGACGAAAATCCCTTTAAATTTTCTCTGTCTTCCCAACTGGGATTGTCCTGATAAAGGGCCTACATTTAATGTATGTATGTAGGTCAAAGTAAACATGCACTGAAAATGAAGAAACTATATCGTTAAAACAAATAAATTTAAAGGGATTTTCGTCCCCCAACCCCTTGGGGAAGGATTGAATCCGGCCCCTGATTACTGTATTTGACAAACACGTCAAGGGCTTCAGTGATCCCAATTAAAGGTTGAAGGCATAACTACGCCCACGGAATAAACAAAACTGGTTAATTCACCTTTATTGTGGCTCCTCTGCTCCTCTTTTCGATATGCTGCATAAGCAAGCCAGTTAGATCCAACTTTTCGATGGTTAGATCGGTAACGTCCTCTGTCTTTATCCTATGTGTCCACAAACCTCCTTCCCTATGTGTGCCCACCTACTTCCGTGTTCACATCTTCTTTCTCCCGTATCATCTCCGTGTCCCCCATTACTCATTGTTGTGGCTCTTTACCATAAAATTGTGATAAAGAAGGAGATGTGTCAGCAGTGTCGATTGCAAGCCAACTCCTCCTATAAGAACCTTATCTAGACCCTCCGCCACCACTCGGTCGCGATGTTACCCCTGCAGGACCTCATATGAGGGGTATTGGTGGTATTCGAATCGGTGTCGCTCCGTACAGACCCTTCGATGGAGACCACAATGGCGGTGAGCACTTACCGAGTAAATTATGGAAGGTGGTCAATGTGAAGAACACACTTCCTGAATCCCTCTGTAAATGCTCGCTTTTTTGGCAATCA